CTTCCCTTCCCTTCCCTTCCCTTCCCTTCCCTTCCCTTCCCTTCCCTCTGTCTCTTTGCCTCTTTTACTATTAAACAAAATATATCAAATTTTTGGCACCAACATCTAACCTCATTTGCTTTTAATCATGTTTTTGGAATATATTTTATATCTTCAAAGTTCTTTCCATTTTTTACACAGAGACTTAGTTTTCTTTACTCTTCTGGGTTTAAACTGGACCGTAACAACATCAGATCAAATAATCCAGCATTCTGGCTTCAATGATGTCACTTAGTGGACACCCAGTGAAGATAAGCATGGAAAAGGTATATGTGATACTCATTCCAAACTCCTTTCTAATCTTCAGCTATTTTCCACTAGAACTCGCAAGGTGTTTCTTTCCCATGCACCTTTCCAGTCTTTCCCAGGCTGGTACAGCTCCCTGCCAAGAGAAGCCTCTGTAGCACCCTCTCCACTGGCAACTTCCCGTCCCCAAGAACTGTCCACTTACCCCTGTCCTCTATTTGGCATTTCTAAACACCCTCATACTTATGAAAGGACACCAACAACTCTCCTTGGGATGCCTCCCTGGACCAAGGCACAGGTTTCATCTCCTAGTGAGCAACCTGTTTCATTAAACTCTCTTTGATACAACAGCAACAGCAACAAAAGGGCCTTATGTAACATTTGCTCAATCTACATGAGCAAGTGTCCTATGAGCTGACTCTCACTATCACAGTGTATTGTTTAGCAGTGTCATTCAGACTACTTCTAGACTTAATATCAAAGCTCTTGGAAAAACAAGATATCTTCCACAACATGAAGGGAAACACATGGTAAAGACTCAGTGTCTAATCACAGTTCTGTGAATCCCATAACAATTGTCCTAATAACTTTCTTAGGTAAAATTTTTATTAAAGTCAATGATAATACTGCAAAAATTAGTTCTGAAAGATCAAGTAAACTACTTCATTTAAAGGACAGAAGTCTTAGAGGATTTCAAAGTAATCTTCCATGTAATTTACTACTCAGGATAATTCAGGAAGACCTAGGAATGTCCACTTCAATAAAACACATAGCTTTAAGGCCTTACATATGGATATACTAAAAAACAAGAGCAACAAAAAAGAAATTAAAATATCATGCTTTTATCAACTCTCTTACCTTTATTAATTCTCGAAGCGTGTGCATCGATGAATCTACTCCAAGTATGTACTGAAAGGCTGGCTTGAGTTCTGCTACATTTTGCAACACTCTGAAACATAGCAAGGACAGCCCAAGCTGGCACTTGGAGAAGCATCCAGGGGTCTCCTTGTTAAAGGCAGTTCATGAAACAGCACCAAGAGTCTGCAAATTCTTCTGAACATTTCAGAGCATGACATTTTCACACATGTTTCACTGAATAAAGAAGCACAGCTACACATTTTATTTGTAAGGAAGTTAAAAGAATAAAAAGCTATATCTGTGCAAGATGTTGTCTTAGTCAGCTGTAGAGTCCCCAGTCCATTTCCAGTTCTGTGCCAGTTAACTGGAATCACACTGTAGACTGAGCATGACTTGTCATTTATTAAATACAAAGGACCAGTGCAACAGTCAGATAAGGTTTCCAGAAAGCACATCTGCTTCTAGAGAAACTGAAGGCTCTCTGTGACTCAGTTAAAAGGGCCCAAAGTGACCTTAAACAAACCCACCCAATTTAAAAGCCTCAGTACTCTGTAGTGGATTTGTTATCTAGATAGGTATCAATTATTGCTCAGAGAATTTTTTTCCCCTTACATTGCTAAATCACGAACATGAATGGTTGGAATAATATTCTTGCCATCTCCAAAAACAGGTATTGCAGGAGTCTCACCAAGCCAACACATCTGAAAATCAGAGAATAAAGTGAGAGAAAAAAAAAGGGTTACTTTTAACTAGAGCTAAAAAAGGAACATTTGATTACTAGGCAAATCTGTATATTCAAGATTTAAAGTTCAGTTTATTGAATAATTAATAGAACTGCAGTAAAGGAGACCATTCTTGAGCAGTACTGATTGCCAAACTACTAAAAGCAAAAGGGTTTCTTTAAAGACTGTTCTTTAATCTTGGCAAATATTACTTTTTATCACCCTAAGAAAAAAAAAAAAAAAAAAAAGAGACTGTTGAATAGAAAGACATTTCCCTGGATTCCATTTACATGACAGACATGTTGCCACTGGAAAGTACATATGAAGATACTGTTCAAAAACTAGAGAAATATCTAAGAAAAAATAGAGCCAAAAAAAGGAAAAACACTTTCACTGTAGCTAAAATGTTTCAAAAGGATCAAATAAACAGTTCCGCTCATAAAAGCATTGAGCTTATGATGCCAAGGCTACTAAAAATGGGTTAAATTCCAGTGCAGTTTGCCCCAAGAAATTAAATGATCCTTCAAATGTAGTTGGATGTCTACCTTAAAAAAGTAGTGAAAGAGTCCTTCCTCAGCTCCATATTGATGTCCTGAGGCAACAACATAAGTTGAAAACTTTTTTTTGTTCTGTAAAGTGAAATCAGCAAAAAGTTTTCATTAAAATCTGGGACTGCAATTGGGATACAAGTTTACACTGGCTCTTGAATACAGGTACATTAAATACACAAAGTGTGCAAACTGTATCACTTCCAAGTTGTAACTATATCAATTGTTGCCTATCCTGCAGCTTCCTGAGTCATATTATTATTACTTCCTTCAAGAAAAGCTGTCTACAGCTGTCTTCAAAAAAAAAGGTCTGTCTACATTTGAACAAAGAGTATAAGACTAAAATAAAATTAAGAGGTAAAATTTGGAAGTTATGTAAATCAATTCAGTGAACAGGATACTCATGCTTCTACTTCCCTTTTTCAAGCAAAAATAAGTCTGAAATTCATTGAATCTATTTTTTTCAATACACTCTATTTGCATTTGTCTGTCTAAAGGAGCAGAAAGGCTGGATTAATGATTTTACAATTTCTTTACTTTCATTTTGATAGACTATTAAAAAAAAAATCTTTGAACTATTTAAATGGTTTGCTAGCCACACATCATGATTAACCCACATATTCTTGGCTGATCTGTGTAACGTCATAAAATTGCCTGTCTGCTTGGACATACATGTTACTGTTTGTATCAATGGTGAGGATGGTTATACAGGGGAAAAAAACAATTAAAACATCATAAAGAGAAAGAGCTTTTGAGGAAGTTTTTTTTTTAATTAGTCACTTTAAAATTTTTTAAGATTAAACAAAATTAATAAATAATTCTCATGTTTTAAATATCCTAGGCATTATATATTTTCACCATAAAATGAAAAGAACCTGCCTTTATCACAGTGGGAATACATGCGCAGATTGGGGATCTATCTTTTTCCTTGGGGAGGCAAGGGGGAATGGACCTTTTGTTGGCATCTTTATAATATTTTAGAAACAGAAAAATAAGGCAGGTCTTAGCCGAGCTTTAATTATATAAGCAAAGCACCATGCACTCAATGACAAGTTGCAAAGTCAGTGTGTTGTATCTATTTGGCTTTATCTATATACTAAGAAAGTGAAACTTTGTTATAAAAACTACTTCAACTGAACTGAATTCAACAGCTTGTTATTAATCACAAGAAACACTAAAATTAGAAGACATTACAGATAGCAGAAGATCTTCCACACTGTAAGGAGAGCTGCCTTTTTCGGACGCTGCTAGGGCCTCAGGAGGACTTTGCCATGGGATGAGCACAAAAGGGAGCTACAGCAGAATATCTCTAACTCCAGATCTGGTTAGTATGCCCTGGTTAACACATCTGGACAGAAATTCCCACTGTGGCCAACAGCGTCATGAAGCAACTGCTCATATGTGTAGCAGTGGTCAAACAGAGATCACGCCTAGTTATGGGTCAGATGGCAACCACCAACCATCACTGAACCCCCTGAATATACCTGTGTGGATACCTGGAAGTTGGACTATAATGTAAACCACCAAAGCAGTGACTTGAGATGAGGTAAAGGTGGTGTTATCCCAGACAATGCATTACAAAACATTATAAAGCTTACATTAACAAAGCCTGGGGAGAAGAATGATAATGCTGATAATGATCACAAAATGCAGAATTTACAGGCCATTAGGAAAGCCAGCTCAGCAAGTGTGCTGAAATCAGCTCCAACTGGGTAAAACAGTAATTCTGGCAGGGGGAGGTCATGACCACCTCAAGAAAATGGCCTTCCCACTCAAGAAACCCATCAACTCAAAAGAAGAGAAAGACTGATCTTGGGACTAATTAGCATTAGAAATGAAGGAATAATTTAACCAATAGATTAAGAGAACTCTGTGGCCAATGAACATTAATTTCTTTTTTTGCTAAAATGTATGAAAAGGAAAAGTTTTGAACTATCTTGGGACCCCCATCACTGAGAAGCCCAGTGGAATCCTTGGGTGGTGACTATCTTCTGCTTGATCTCTCTCCTCTGTTTTCTATTTCTTTCTCTCTACCTCATATTCATTGTTAAATAAAATCTGTAATTGACTTCAGTTTGTGGTCTCATTTGCATCTTTATTTGGGTAGAGGTATCTCTTACTACTCGGATCTTAACACACACTGAGCTTGCTTGGGTGATTCCATGACAGATAGTGTTTGCACCTCAGAGCAGCAGCTCCCAGGGCTGCTGTGGACAGCCTGCAGACATGTCCCAGAAGATACATAGTAATTTCTGTCTCCTAGCAGGAAAAACCCGCCTCTTCTGAATGCACAGGAGGTGCTATTTCTCATTTCCCTTAAAAAGAATGTAACACAGAATTTCCTTCCATGTACCTTGTGCTAACTCCTGCCTTGTGTGAAGACAAGCCACAGTTTTGCACTGAGTGCTGTATTTCACTGAAATGCATACCTCTAGAACAGGTTCAATGCCTCTAACAATAGTTACTCAGTGTCACAAGCCACCCATTGAGAAGGTACTACTTGACGTTACTTGGCTATAGGTGATTTTAAAAACAGGGCAATGTTTAGGCATGTTGCTGTTCCTCGCGGCACGTTTAGTCCCGGGTAAGGAATGTCATGTTCCCGTGCTGTTCATTAAAGCCACTAGGTGTCACTTTCTAGCTGGGATCCTCAGCTCCGGGCTGTGGTTGTTTTGGCTTGTTTGCTTGCTTCTTAAAAATTGCTTGAAGTGAGAAACAGATCTAAATGGATTCGGGAACTGTGATGTCACTGAGAACAGAGATGCAGGATGAAGAACTTTTCTGCCTTTGGCAGGCAGATATTTCTCCAATAAGGCTTAGAAAACCTTCTATTCTTGGTGCAAGAGCTTTTTTACACGGCTGGCTGATGAATTCTAGTGTCTGAGGTCTTGCAGGGAACAATTACAATGTAATTTCTTTCACTGATGGCATATTCCCTAGATGCCACTAAATTTAAGAATCAGTAAAGACTATAATCCAGAAGTCTTCAGCCATCACAGGAAGCCAAAGCTGATTCCATGGGAAGAACAGATGCTTTGGAGCCATCCTGCTCCAAAGTGCTGACAGAAACCATCCAGGGGCAGTGATACCCATTGGTGCTGACACTGGAGTTCTGGAGCACAGGAGCTCCTTTTGAAAGGGTTACAGCAGGTAGTATTGAAAATATTCAAGCTGCTTTATCATGTACTGCTACATATCTGTCTTGTCAACAGATGTTCAGCCTGGCAAACACTTAGTAGCTAATTATATAAATACTTTTGGTATGCAGCGACTCAGTGCTTTGGACTAGTCAGAAAAATTGCCAATAATTCATCTGGGTATCAAGTGGTGGCAGAAGTTAACACAAGGTTGATGGATGCTGTTTAAAATTTTCATGATTTTAACATTGCGGGTGTGAAACTCATCCCATGGTCTTACAAATCTATGTTAGCATAGTAAGAGAAAAACGAATTCACCACTGCTTTTTCAAGCTAGAAACCAAATTTTTACTTGTGTTCTGTGCTATTAGATCCACAGTAGAACAGAATATAATTTCTAGTGCTATTTTCTCAGCAGGACATAAGACAGCAAATATATGCTCAAACTAGAGAAAAGTTTTTTTCACAATAAACTCTGTTATTAGCTGGATAAATTTCTGAAATGAACATTGAATTATATTGCTTATGGGAGACTCCCAACACAGGAAAAAGAATGACCAAATGGCACCTTCATCATCAGTGTATTTTGTTGTCTTTGAACCTCCCCACTTCTCTGCCACTAATGACAACAGCTTCCATTTTCCTGAATTGTGAGCTGAGCCACTATTGGTATTTATTTAATAACAGTTCTTAAATACAAATAGAGGCATATTCTGTTCTCCAGTAAGATTAATGGTCTAATCAGACCAAAGCAAGCAAAGCTGAAGGAGGGGATTTAAAAACATGTAAAGTGATAACATATTTTAGCTATTCTGTGTCAGCTTTATGGCCATGATTTTAGAGTAAATTATAGGGTGGAACAAAAGTCAACAAGGCCTCTGTTCCAAGAGCACAAACTATCCAGGACATGATAGGTGTGGCCAGAACATCTAAGGATTTAAATGAGTCGTAGTACTAACATAGCTTGCTGATATTTAATGATGCTGCTTTTCTTTAGAGCAGTACTAATATCTCATTCCTCTACAATCTTTCTTCCCCAAATCTTTCCACACAGACCCCAGCTTTGATTGTCTCTGGTACAACCAAAGAAACAGTATTTTTTTTAAGATGAGCATGATTTACTCCCTACCTAAGAAAAAAAAAAAGACATTGGGATTTATATTGTGCATACACTTAGGTTTCAAAGTGCATTATAGTATTCTCCTTGCTACTATATTTTATTATCAATTTGTATAATCCATAGTTATAAGGACAATATTATATTCTTAAAACTCATTCAAACTGTTTATAAATTCCATTAATATGATAAAGCTCTAAATAAGAAGGCAAACCAGCTTATTTTTATAAAAAAGTTCTATACATACAGTTTTCCCCAGTTTTGCAATGTGTTTTTCAGCATTTAGGTGATCCACAAAGGCAGGATGAGACCTTCTCTTGCGAAAATCTTCTTCAATAAAAGGAGCTTCAGGATTTTCCTATGAAGAAAAAAAATGTGATTGATATACATTTGCTAAAACAGAACAAATTTTAAAGGTCTAGATAGTTAAAGGAAGTTTTTTAGAAGCATTTTAAAATCTGTTTTAACTTTGTCTTCATTTGAAAACCGTCAAGGTTCTGAATTTGATGCTTGAGGTTCAGCATTTTGAAAATGTCATTACTTCAATTTCAAATTTCATAGTAAAAGATTTTTAACTTCTATTTATATTTCTAAAAACATTACTTTTTATTATATATAGCATTACACAAGGTTGAAAAACTCTATTTCTGTAACAATGAATTTGAGAATTGCAATAGCATACTACAAAGCACCCAACATGGCTCCTGAAAATACTTTACATATATTGATATAAAGATGTATCCATTTTAATTATGTATTTCATTAAATATGCAATGAATATGGGATTTTTTTAATGACTGAAAGACAGTGCATTTTGTGGTTAGCATTTGTCTTGCCTTCTTGACTAAGCAACTCCTTATGTCTTTCTGTATCATTATAGCCCAATGCCTAAACTTTTGTGAAAGAGAATTTCATCTAGCAATCTTGGCAGTGAGTAATGGGTAAGGGTGAAAGAATCCTAAAAACCCAGCTATTTACCAGCTATCATTGAAGTACACACCCAAAATATATTGTATAATTTAATGTAATGAATATTTTCCATTAAATGGCAACATCTGTTGAAAAAATATTAATGTTTTGATATTACTTACAGGGTCAAAGGGTTTGGTATTTGCCCAGGTCATTATTGTTGAAATGAGGATGAATAACTTTTGTTTTGCAAAAGTCTCTATTTCCTTATGTAGGGCTGTTAAATGAAAGCAAAAATTTTATTTTAAACTGAATTATTCAAATGTAGTTTTGCTTCTATATAAAGGTCCTGGATAGACACTCATACCAATGTTCTATGTGATGTCTTTTTAAGCAAATGCTCTTTGAGTTAATATAAAATAAAGATAAAAAATCATGAAAGAAAACAATTAGAGAAAGAAAGAAAAAGCTACTGAAGAAAGAAAAGCAAGCAAGCAAAGTTTATTTTAATATAAAACAATAAAATTAATTTTTTGTTATGCAAATTATTCTGTTGTCCGAATGTTCATATTATAAAGAAAAAAGCATAATTTAGTTTAGCTGTCATATAAAGAATCATATTGCACTCTCACCATGAAAGGATTCCAGCTGCCTATTAGAAGAATTTGGGTGTAACAATAAGGAGAAAGTTTTCAAAAGACTGCTAGTAATATTTTTATTGGACTTTAAAAAAAATAAAATAATTATATAAAATATTGAAACATTCTTTGAATATCACAGGAGCAAATTTTCTACCCACCTCCCAATACAAAGAGATGAGATGATGGTTGACAGTTATTTGGGGAAATTACTGCCTACAAAGATGTGCCATTTAAAGAATTGGATCATTCCATGTCAGCTTCTCTCCCTTCTGAACGTGGCAGTGCATTCCATGGTTCCTTGCTATTTATCCTAATAATTTGTGCAGCATTTCTCCATCAAGGAACCCAATTTTATATTAAAGTGAACCCATGATAACTTCATTACACATTGATGGCTACATACAAACGAAATTTCTGTTCAGGTAAAGCTATACTAACCAGAAGCAGCCCATGTTGCTTCCTCAATTTGGCTTACATCCTCAGTGATATTATATAAAACAATTTCACACTCAAGCAAGTGGCTTAAGAGTTCTTCTCGAGAAGAGACCTGAGGGAAAAACAGTCAGATTCTGTCATTAGAGAAAAAAAAAAATCCTCTTCTAAATATCCAGTTAAATATCTGGATAGAATGTGGTTTTCTAACACTAGGATGTTAGAATTATTCATAAGATCGTTACCAAACTTTTATCTGTCACATACAAGAAAGCTGATAAAATGGAAATTAAATGCTGAAATTTCTAATTTAGAGTATATGTTAACATAGATAAAAAATAGAGACTTTTAATGGTATTTTAGGATCCATATTTTTAGTGCATTTGTGAGTATTGAAAATATCTACTACTTACCCAGGTGTTTTAAACAACTATCCATTGGCAGAATAGAGAAGACATAAAAAATGTCACTTTCCTTGCAAGATAGCATCCTGTAATTTTTATTGACTTCAGATTATCTGTATTACTTGAGCAAATCCAGCAAACACTTTGGACAAAAGCAGTTAAAACTTAACAGCACCACCCATAATTTCCTGATTGAACAGTTCAGCTGCATAGACATCTGAATCAAAATTTTCAAATGTTGGAAGAGATTCTTAAATAAGAAGAATAATAACCAGTTTATAACAAGCAGTTTGAGACAGAGGCAATTTCTAGTTTCAGAAAACTAAATCAAGCAATGAGCAATCCCATCCACAAGAGCAAGCCTCCTCTAGTTAAATAAACTCTGGACATACACATTTTTATACAAAAATGGAGGTATTCAGAACAATTAGCTGCTAGTGAAAGCTGTGATTTCAGTGAACAGTTAAGAAGGACACTAACTTTGAGTCCAGCATCACTACCTTCAAAATGGTGATAAAAGACAAAAAGAAGATGAGAGATCCTTGAAGTGTAAGCTTTGAGAAAAAAAGAAAGTAGACCTGTGGATCAATAAGATAGATTTTTTTACAAAAAGTTATGAAGAGGACATCATCTTTTTACTGTCTGAGTTCCTTCCTTTTATATTTGCTGTGTCAGACCTAGAAGTGAGGAAGCCAGAGCACATGCAGGAAGCAGAAGGAGTAAAGCAGATATATACAGGTTCCAGCAGGAACAAAATTTCTTTAGCGTAGGTCATTTTACATGACCTGTGATATTTCTAATGTTGTCTAAGGGCAATCTGAAATCAGACTCATACTTACTGCATATGTTTCCTTTGCAAACTGTAGATCAGCACTCTCTGGATTAGAAAGAGTACCCACTATTTCGTAGGTTTCCCCTGTGCTCGTGGGATCAACAGCGGGTTCATTTTCTTCTCCCTCCTCTTCATCTTCTGCGCTTTCAAGCGTGGCCCCAACAACGGAGGTGGATAAATACTGCAATATACAAGACACATAATTTGCATACAAATACCTATTGAGCCCTACACAGTTTGTCGTAATCTCCAGAAGGCACCAGCACCGTCTGATCGGCCCTGCTCCTGTTGCTGGTAATGCTCTTCAAAAACAGCTTCCCATAGAGGGGAAATGCTCAGGCGCTGCTCAGGCTCAGCTGGGGTGTGCCGGCTCCCCGTGAGTCCCAC